CCCAGTGCGCCTCCCCGCCCCCCCCTGCCACTGCACCTACCGGGCAGACTCAGTCACTGCACGGTGCTCCTGGGCCCACGGCGCCACTGCTGGACTCCATGCAGAGGGGCAAAGCCTCACAAAACGTGGGTCCAGGGCAGCCAGGCAGTCAGAGGTTCAGGGCCAGCCTCTGCTGTGTGCAGTCCATCAGCCCCAGCTGGGATGTGTCAGGTCGTTTCTAAGGACTGAGCTGCAGGAGGAGGTGCTGTAGGAAGGTGGGTGGGTGATGGATGGATGGATTGGTTGGGTGGGTGGGTGATCGATCGGGCTGGCTGTGGAACTGAGGCAAAAGCCCCTATGCCCTGCGTGTTTTGTGTTCACGTTGGCTCTGTAGTTTGGGTGAATAAAGCAACCCCCTGGAAAGGGGAGCTGAAAGGCTCAGGCAGATCTGCCGTGGCACACACCGTGGACACGGGATGGCTGCATTGCATTATACCTAGGGGGGCAATGCAGGTGGATCTAAATCAGAGAACTCCAGTGTCGGGTGTCTGAACCAGATGCCCGGCTGTCCAAGGATGCGCCTCTTTTGGAAGGGAGATTTCTGGGAAGGAGCAGCGCCCCTGGCACATTTAGGGTGGCCAGTTTGGACTGGATGTATTCCCGGAGCTTCCGTGCGATAGCTTGCATCAAAGGTGCATCTTGAATCCCCGGAGGCTCCAGGGCAGCCCTGGAGGGTTGGCGACCCCTGCACACACACCGACGAAACACGATTCCCATCGACAAAACTCCTGACTGACTCACAGGCGAAGCAAGAAAACGGGCTCATCGCAGGCCGGCGTCGGGCGGGTTGCTGGGTACATTCGGAGCCGCGGCGTTGTCAGCCAGGGCTCCAACGGCTCAAGAGCTTTGCTGCTTTGAATCACAGCGTCCAGAAGGGAGCGTCGGTGGCGAAAGCTGCGCGTGGATGGACATTGTGGGGTCCTGGATAGATCGGAAGGGCAAATCATCCCGCAGGGTCGGACAGAAAGCTCCAGGGGTGGAGCTGCCCCCTACAAAGAGGGTCACTGCAGAATCATGTCGCTGTCATCATGCCTGAGAACACCAGTCTTGGACTACAACCTCCCCGCGCTAGGACCTGTACGTGATCATTTATTAGGTGCATTATAGGCCCACTTAGGCAGAGCCCATGGCTCCATTGTGCTAGGTAGTGTACATTATTAGTGCCATTTATTAGGTGCATTATGGTACCATGCAGGCACCCAAGTCAGGGACCAAAATCCCATGGGACTCCTCATTGTACATTACGGCTGCTGTTTATTGTGTGTATTACGGTAGCACATAATAGCAGGGACCAAAACCCCAAGGAGTTAAGCACTGTGTATTAATGGTGCCACTTATTAAGTATATTATGGTTGCAGTTAGGCATCCAAATCAAGGACTAAAATTGCATACAGTGTACATTAATAGAGCTATTTATTAGATGGATTATGGTAGCAGGTAGGCATCCGGGTCAGAGGCCAAAACTGCATATGGTGTACATTAGTGGTGCAATTTATTAGGTGTATTATGGTAGTACCAAGGCCCTCGTTCATGGCCTGTGGCCTCACCCCGCTAGATGTTGTGCAAACACAGCAACAGAAAAAGCAGCCAGGGAGGGGAGCTGCCTCATTGCTGGTCCCCATTTGTGGCTGGCACTGGAGCTAAAGGGGAAACTGAGGCACCACAATTCTGAAGCCCCCCTAGGTGGGAGGTGAGGCACCCCCCACCTGCCCTCCTGAATGTGCCAGGCGCCTGACCCCGTGTGCCCTAGTGCAGCCGGTGCCAGCACCTGGATTAATCCTCTTCTGGTCTGTGGTTTCAATCCCCCTGCATGCAGCAAGTGCTAAGTGGCAGCCGGTGGGTAGTGTGCGTGCCAGTCCCTGTCCTTAACCCTCCTCATTCCCCTGAGCCTCTGGGCCACCCGCTTCCGTGCCTGGGCCAGCGTGAAGTCAGACAGCAAGGATTTGGAGATGATCTTCGCCCATTTCTCATGCCAACGGCCCAGAAACTCTTTCGTGGTCGGTTGGGCCTCCAGTGAAGAGCTCCTGAGAGGCCTGGCAGCTAAACCAGCTGCAGCCCAGGGACATCTGTCCCTGCTGCATCCTGGCACGTATCTCTCAATCGTTTGAGGTGCCACGCCCTACAGGCGCCCCGGGCAAAGCTACAATCTTGATTCATGCAGGCACGTTCTCGGGGCCTGCCCAGCGCTGGGTCAGGCAGTCAGAGAAGCAGCTGTCTCCGAAGACCTGTCAATTGGCAGGCCTCTGGCGCGGGGCGAGAAAGCTGGTGGCAGTCACGGAGCGTCCCGTCCCGGTGGACGGGCACACAAAGGCTGCGCTTGTGAGCGCCCATGAGTCACGGCGATCCTGCGGAGCAGTGTGACTGATTCATTGCGCAGACAAAGGCAGCAAGGAACAGAATCACCGGCCACCAACCCCTCGCAGTTGGGAGTAGAGAATCGGCTGATTGTTCTGGGCAGCGGGGTGCAACGGGGAGGGTAATTAATTCCCCCTGGAGTATGCTGGCCAGCCCCATCCGGATACCTGCAGCCATTCTCCTCCTTTTCCCCTTGTAAATACAAGGCTGTGGGAGAGAGCGGGGCGGGGGTGGGGAGGAACAGAGTCAGGACTCTTGGGTTCTATTCCCAGCCCTGAAAGGAGAGTGAGGTCTAGTGGTTATGGGACTGGGACTCAGGACTCCTTGGTTCGATCCCCAGTTCTGGGTGGGGAGTCTAGTGGGTTAGATAAGGGGGGGGGACTAGAAACCAGGACTCCTGGGTTCTATCTGAAGCTCTGGGAGGGCAGTGCGGTCTAGTGATGGGAGTCAGGACTCCTGGATTGTAGCCCTAGATAGGGGAGAAGAGTGGGGTTTGGTGCATAAACCCACGGGGAGGGCACCTGGGAGCCAGGACTCGTGGGTTCTATCCCTTGCTCTTCTCCTTAAGCCAGGCCTGGGCTCAAGGGACCCCTTGCCCTGAGGCAGCATGGGGGGGGGATCAGGGTAGACGGGCCCACTGCTGTGATGCAGCGCAGAGTGGGCTGCGCAGCTGGTAACTTGCCTAGGGAGAAGAACTGAGGCAGGGAGCTGACTGCAAACAATCCTAGGCCATGATGTGGAAGTCTGTGGGCTGGGAAGTCTATGGGAACAGTGACCCCTACTGGCCAGTTGGGGTGCCTGCCTCATGACAGCACTTTCAAAGTGGGGCATCTGTATGGAAGCACTGGCTTTCCAGTGGCCTCTGCTGACTGGGCCGGGCACCAGGCAAAGCAAACCAGGGCTGCAAAGTTCTGCAGCACAGCGCCCCCTTCTGTCACGATGGGGCACTGGAGCCAGCCCTGAGCCCCCGTCCTGCCCCCTGCAGCACAGCGCCCCCTAGTGCTACACTGGGGCACTGCAGTTACTGGCAGGGGAGAGCCCCTTCCCTGCAGCACAGCACCCGCATGGGCGTCGGGGCCAGCCCCAGACTGCCAGGGGAGCGTGCCCTCACAGCGCTGCGCAACACAATGTCCCCGGCGCACACCCAAGCCAAGCTGCTTGTCGATGCGTTTATTCCGCAGCCCCTGAGGACGATGTACCCCCACTCGGCCGCAGCTCCTCAGGCCATGACGGCCCCTGGCTTCCTGCGGCAGGACTGCAGGATGCTGAGGAAGAGGAGGAAGATGAGGAAGATAGACAGCCCCACCACCAGGGACTCGATGGCCGAGTAGGCGCGGGTCAGCTCGGGGGCAGGCACCAGCGCCCTGGGGGGGGGGACGAGGAAGCGGCCCGCCAGCCGCCCCCCCACCATTCCAGGAGGAGAGGAGCAGGGTCCCGCCGCCGGTCACCTGGTCCAGGCTGATGGAGCGGTTGCGCTGACGAAGGTCCTGCCAGGTCAGGGCGGTGGGGCCTTCCTGCCAGTACACGGGGCTGGGGGAAGACAGAGAGAGGGCTGGGTGCCAGGGGTCTCTCCTCTGGGAGAGACTGGGGTCTAGAGGTTAGAGCCGGGGGCTGAGGATAAAGCATTACTCAGGGGAGGGGAGGTGCAGGCTCCAATCTGGCCCTAGGGCAGCAGATTGGCTGGCTCAGGGATGTGGGGCGTGTCCCCTCTCAGGAGCATTGGCTGGAATGAGTTTAGCACATCTCGGTCCGGTTCAGCTGGCCCCCTTGGTCTCAGGACCACAGGCCGAAGGCTGGCTATTCATCATGGGCGGCGGGCGAAGGCCCAGCTGGGGAAGCCTAGTGCCAGCTCCGCCCCTTCTGCCTGAGGCTCCGCCCCTGAAGCCAAGCCCCTCCCACTTCAGCCTGATCCTTCCTTGCCACCTGGAGGGCAGCCTTGGCCCCAGCCCCAGCTTTCCCCAGAGGCTATGCCTTCCCTTGCCTGCATTACTGGCTACCCCTGCTATTCATGGAGCCTGATCAACCATAGAGGAAGAGACTCTGTGGGGTGGGGGTGGAGGTCTGGGGAGCTGGACTGGGGGGCTGAATTGGCCCTGGGGGGGTCTAGGAGGCAGGAATCTCCCTCCCCTGGTGCTTATCTATGGAATTAACAGGCAGCAAAAAATGTCCAAGTCATTTTCCCCCAGTGAAACTACCTGAGATGCATCTGGCCCACACAGATGACATTACAGCCCCCCCCCAGCTGATGGCAACCCCATCAGAGCCTCAAACACAGGCAGGGGCTAGGAGGGGTGTGATCAGAGGTCTGCAGCAGGTAGCTGCGCTCATCTGCACCAGTGTGTGATGAACATACACAGCCCGGCAGGAGCGGAGCTGGGATCCCACCACAACAGGGTTTTGGGCCAGGTTCGGTCCCTGGCATCAGCCACAAAAAGGCGACCCGGCAATCACTGTTCATGAGGTGTTCCAGCCAAAAATTGGGAGACTGGCTTAAAAAGCATCAGATTGACTTCAAAAACTCCTTGTCCCGTTCAAAACATCGTGAAATTGGCTTTAAAAAAAAAAAAAGCACGAGGCTGGCTAAAAATCTGTGAGAGCAGCTTCCAAAAACCATCAGGTTACAAAACGTGATCAGCGTCAGGCTGGCGTCAATTTGCCTTCTGATGCTGGAGGTGGGAGGAGTCCTGTGTCCGAGGTTTTCTGCCGTGCCTAGGGCCCTACCAAATTCACCTCCCTGAAAAGTCTCATGGACCGTGATCTCTGGTCTTCGCCCATGAAATCTGGTTTCTTGTGTGCACAGATTTCACAGAGGAGACCAGCGTTTCTCCAGCTGGGGGGCCTGACACAAAAAGAAGCTGCAGAGTGGGGGGTTGCGAGGCTATTTTACGGGGGGGGGGGCACTGTATTGACACCATTACTGCTGTGCTGCCTTCGGATCTGGGTGGCCAGAGAGCAATGGCTGTTGGCCGAGGGCCCAGCTCTAAAGATGATGCCCCTGCAGCAGCGCACAAGGGTGACAATCCCATACCAGGCCATCCTCACTTCTGTGCTGCTGCTGCTAGCAACTTTGCCTTCCGAGCTGGGCTTCCCGTCAGCAGCCGCTGCTCTTCAGCTGCCCAGCTGGAAAGGCAGCGTCGTCACCAGCAGCAATGCAGAAGTAAGAGCAGCCATGCTACAACCCCCTACGATAACCTTGATTCCCCCCAGATCCTTTTTGGGTCAGCGCCCCTACAACACTTACATTTAAATGGCTGACATCATGACTCTGACACATTTTGAAATCCTATGACCATGAAAGTGACCAAAATGGATTGCGAATTTGGGAGGGCCCTGGCCACGAGGGCAAGTACTGGTGGTTCTGTGAACACTCAGAGGCCTGAGGTCTAACAAGCCTCCAGCATCTGAGGGCTTTAGGAAAATCGTGAGCCACGGTAAAATCATGAGCACTGGTACCGCTGGCTGCACCCTGGGCATGAATTAACGAGACGATGGGATTTTCCTGTCGGCATCTGGGACGAAGTTAGTGGGTAGTGAAAGCTACGAGTCAAAAGCCCCCAGAAGTGGATGCTGCTGAATTCCCTCAATGGGAGCTGACTCCTTTGCAGCCCAGGTGCTGGAGTTCATAGCCACTCTCAGGGCACTGAGGTTAGAAAAGGGACTTGGTGTTAGCCACTGGCATCAACACTGATTATCAGGGGAAACCACCCCTACCCTGCCTCCTGCAGCACAGCACCCTCTAGTGCCATGCCAGGGCATTGGGCCAGCCCTGCCCCCAGGGGAGAGCCCCTCACCCCACTAGCACCCCCTAACACAGGGCTGGGCCCCCTCTCTTCCGTACTGCCCCCTGGTCCTGCAGCTCCTGTTTCGACCAGGGCGAAAGTTCAACGTGGCGGTGAATGATTAACCAGGCTCCGCTTCCCAACACCCACACAGGAACCAGCTGAGTGCAAACAAGCAGGGGCTGGTTCCTTTTGACGCTTTCCAATCTACCCCCATTCCTTCCTCCAGCTCCACCCTGCCTGGATTACCCCCAGCCACGTTCATTAAGGCCAGTTTCTGCACCAGACCTGAGCTCCTGCCTAGGAGATTTTTCAGAGATGGGGGCGGAGTTGGGGTATTGCTCTGGTTAGACCCATGGATCTAATCTGGGGCAGCACGGGGGAGGCCTGATACTGGGGTAGATGGGCCCATGGGTTTGATTCTGGGTGGCAGGGAGGGGGCCTGATACCAGGGCAGGTGGGCTCATGGGTCTGATTCAGGGATTCGGGGGTGGGAATAACTGGCTGCATGGGTTCCTGGGTCTCCCCACATGGCATGGCTCCTTGTACCTGTATATAGAGGCCATTGGGCACCTCAGCCTGGCGCCGGCACGGGGCAGAGCTCGGTAGCGGGTGATGACAAGGAGGGGGGGCCTGCTTGGTTCATCCTGGCCAGAGACGTAGGCCCTGTCACATGGCACCTCGCAGCTCTCTACCCGCAGCTCCGGCCCCCGCTGGGGCAGCCCTCGCCCGGCCAGCCCGCATGGCAGGGGTCCCTCGGGGCGCGACACCAGCCAGGCGTAGCAGAACCCCACCCGCTTCCTCTCGCCGGGGCCTCCGCAGCGGTCACAGGGCTGCCAGGGGGCCCAGGCGGGGAGCAGCTGCCCCCGGGCCCCGCCAGCCAGCTTCACGGTGGTGTTAGCCAGGGCGGCCTCTCCCAGGCTGGCGTGGCTGATGTGGAGACGCTTGGCGTCCTGGAAGTCCACCTCGTAGTAGGCCAGCGTGGCGTCGCCCTGGCGACAGGTGTAGATGCCCGAGTCCTCCACGCCAGGATCCACAATCTGCAGGTCGCCCTCGAGCAGTCGGGTTTTCAAGCGCAGGCGCCACAGCTTGGCGCGAGTGGGAATGAGCGCCAAGGGGTGCCCGGTGCGGATGAAGGTGGCTGGCCGCTCCCCGCGCCGGGAAGGATCTACATACTGCCAGGAGATTGGGCCCTGCTGGGGGGTCCCAGGGCATCTCAGGGTCACAGGGTTGTCTGAGATCAAGGCCAGGGTGCACGGGCGGCCCAGGAGGCAGGGCACCGGCAGGGAGATGCCTTGGGACAGGTCGCCATGGGCCACGGCACAGATCAAGGCAAAGAGGAAGCTCAGGGCCACTGCTCGGGGGCACATGGCTGGTTGGCGTGTGCCCAGGGGCTGAAGCAAGAGGCAACGGCTTGCTGACCTCATTGTGATATCATCAGTCAAAGAGTGAGGTCATAATTGCCCTAGCTCAGCAGGGGCCAGCAAGGGAGCCCTAGGGAAAGCACATTGGATTCTCAGCTCCCTGGGGTGAATCCAGAGTCACCCCAACTGCAGCGGGGTGACAGGTCAGAGCTGGGTTCAGATTGCAGCTCTCTGGGGTGAATCCGGAGTCCCCCCTTGAATGCAGCAGGGTCAGAGTTAGGGTCTGTTCTCAGCTCCCTGGTGTCTATCCGGAGTCACCCCTTAACTGCAGCGGGGTCAGAGCTGGGGTCTGTTCTCATCTACCTGGGGTCGATCTGGAGTCACCCTTTAATTGCAGCAGGGTCAGAGCTAGGGTCTGTTCTCAGCTCCCTGGGGTCCATCCGGAGTCACCCCTTGACTGCAGTGGGGTCAGAGCTGGGTTCTGATCTCAGTTTCCCCGGGGCAGATCCGGAGTCACTATCGATTGACCTTTCACTATCAGTGGTAAATAGGCCAATGGAGGGATGATAGGAGTTACTATAGAGAATTTTTCTTAGGTGTCTGGCTGGTGAGTCTTGCCCACCTGCTCAGGGTTCAGCTGATCGCCATATTTGGGGTTGGGAAGGAATTTTCCTCCAGGGTAGACTGGCTGAGGCCCTGGAGGTTTTTCACCTTCCTCTGTAGCATGGGGCACGGATCACTTGCTGGAGGATCCTCTGCATCTTGGGGTCTTCAAACCATCATTTGAGGACTTCAGTATCTGAGGGTATGTCTACACTACCCTCCTAGTTCGAACTAGGAGGGTAGTGTAGACATACCCAGAGAGAATTGAAAGGAGATTTCCTAGGCAAGTGGTTCTTGCTAGCTTTTGAATGCTTAACTTTACAACCTAATAGAATTCTGTCAGCATAGATTTTTTCTGTTTAAGTTTCCGAAGCCTTTTTTTAAGGAAAAAGTTTAAAACTAATTAAGTGCAACTGTAACAGTTTTCCCATAATGAATTATCAGCATGGTTTGAGCCTGAGATAGCAGGATCAGGTAAACCTAGACCATTCTTAATAGCCGTTTGTCCAGCCAGTTCTAAAAATCCTCCTTTGATGTGGATTATACAATCTCCCTTGGAAGCCTATTCTGAAGCTACTTTTATAGTTAGATAGTTTTTCCCTAATATTCAACCTAAATCTCGCTTCCCACAGATTAAGCCCATTATTTCTTATCCTACCTTCAGTGAACATAGAGAACAATTAATCATAGTCCTCCTTATAACAGCATTTAACATATTTGAAGACTGTTACCAAATCCTCCCTAAGTCTTTTTTCACAAGCCTGAACATGTCCATTTTTTTAACCTTTCCTCAGAGGTCAGGTTTGGTAAATCTTTTTGTGAGTTTTCCCCCTGACTGCAGTGGGGTCAGGGCTGGGTTCTGATCTCCAATACACATGTGTAAATTCAAAATGCCCCTCCCCGCCATGCTGTGGGCATCCCTAGCCTCTGACTGCCAGAAACTGGGAGCAGAAGATTAGAGATGGGTTACTTGATGATGGCCTATTCTCTTCATTCTGGCCATGTTTACACTAGTAAATTCGACTTACTAACTCCTGATCTAACAAATTTGAAATAGCACGTCCACACTATGGGGAAGCCTTGACATTAGTCCGAGGCCAGCTCTGTTAATGTGGACGCGTTACCTTGGACTTAGAGCCTTAGGAAGTACTGGAGAGTCATTAGTTCGCAATAGTCTGGGAAATAATGATTTCAAAATACTGGCACTGGAGCATCCGCACTACCGCTATTTCCAGGTAGCTGTTTCGGAATTAGCATTACTCCGGATGAAAAGCAGGAGTACAGATTTCGAATTCTGCAGCTCGTTTTTTTGAAGTAACAGGCTTGGTAGGGAGGATGCTCTGCTTACAAATTTGACTGGGAGTTGGGTTGGGAGGGGTGATATTTCAAAATAAAGTCCTAGTGTAGACCAGGGCCCTGGAAACACCTGGCAGTGCCCACTGTCAGAAAACAGGATCCTGGGCTAGATGGACCTTTGGTCTGACCCAGTATGGCCGTTCTTATGTTTCTGTTTACGATAACGCTAATGAAGTTAGAAGAGTCACTCCCCATTTAGCCACCAATTCAGGAAAATATTTAACCACGTTTAAGTGATTTCTCAACGGGAGTGAAGTCATTCCGCTGTAACCACATGCATATATGTTTGTGGGATTGGGACCTTACAGTTTTCTCTATGAAAAGTCTTTGAAAAATTTACTAAGGATGTTAAGTATCTGGTAATTGACTATTCTATTAGTCGATAGGGCATCTCTGCCTTTGAAGTGTTGGCCACACTTCAAAGGCGAAAGTGCCACCTGGAGCCCAGGGTCAGCTGTGGACTCCCCCACTGACCCAGGCTCCATGTGGTGCTGCCATTTTGAATCACTGTGTGCAGCCTGGGGACACCCCAGCTGGCCTGAGGCTGCATACGGCTTTTCAAAGCAGCAGCGCCATGTGGAGCTCGGGGTCTGGCCCCAGGACTCAAGTGGCGTTGCCACTTTGAAGTACCCCGTCTTCTTCTCCCCCCTGCTGCCTCTATCTGATAGAGGCAGCAAGGTGGGGAGAAGCGACTAGTCGACTATCCTGTTGACTATACGTTACGTATTTGCTTATCGGATAGTCGACTAGTCCTTCACATCCCTAAGCTTTACCAGCCTCGGTAAAACCATCCCCAACACTTTTCCAAAGATTCTCTTATTCTGCCCTCCAAAAATGAGTTCCCCAAACTCTGTCATCCTTACATTCAAAATCTTTTCTCTTTGTAAGAAAAGACTCAAATACTTTCAGTCCTTAAGAAAAGTTTGGGAAAATGTCTCCTCCACAAAGTTGGAAAACCATTTTTGCCCCAGATTTTCATAATGGAACCTTTTCCCTTCAGAACCTTTTTCTTCCTAAAACAATTATGTTTTGAAGAGGTTTTGTCCATTAAAAGGAATTTCTGAAAGTTCCCACCCCTCAAAAAAAGTTTGTACAGTATCACTTTTCCACTTCTCACGCAAAAAAAATAAAAATAAATCTGGGGTAGGTAAATATTTGAGGGAAGCGGGCTAATCATAGAATCACAGAAGCTGAGAGTTGGAAGATACCGCAGGGTGTTAGCTAGTCCAATTTAAGGATGTTAAAATGCGATTATCTGGCTAATCTGATTAGTCGATAAATCAGCTGGCTCGCGCCAGCTGTAGAATCACCCGCGCTGTTGCTTTGTATTTTCAATGTAGTAACAGTCGCTGGGCTCTTACTACACTTAAAAAGCAGAGGCGTAGCAGCGATCAGTGCGAGCTGGGACTGCTCGGTCCCAGCTTGTACTGGGTCTGAGCTTTTAAGCTAGCTCCCTCCATCACCAGCTCCTGTCCCCCTCGCTTGCTGCTTCTCATAGAAGCAGCAAGGCGGGAGCACTGCAGAGAGCACAGGGTGAGCGGGGACTGCTTGAGTCCCCACTCACCCCATGCTCCCTGTGGCACTTCTGCTTTTGAAATGTACAAGAGCCCCGCTCGCACTGTTTCCCCGCTGTGCCTCTCCCTCCCCTGCCCCCGACTCCTTCTTCCCACCCTTGCTGCCTCTCTGAGGCATTTGCTTATCGGATAGTTGACTAGCGGCTAACATCCCTAGTCCAACTCCATATTCAAAGCAGGACCAATCCAACTATATTATCCAGCTGTGAAAGGAAGGCAGATGCAGAACTCCGGTAAGAGCCAGCTGGGGCACTCGGCTGCAGGACAAAGGGGCGGTGTACTCCCAGCCGGGCTCCAGGGGGTCTCCTGACGGCTGCTGTGCTAAGCAGCAGGCAGGTGAAAGGGACTGGCTGGGGTTGCGCTTTGCACTGGTCTGGGACTGCCCCAGCCATGAGCCCTCTCCCCCAAGCAACACACAGCATCCCTTCATCCCTCTTCCTCCTAGCTACGCAGGGAGGGAGCAAAGGGGTGAGTGACCCATGCTATGACTCCCGACAGAGATGGAAGGGGAACAGCAACAAGCAGCACCTGTAGAAATCGGAGGGGTGGAGACCCTATGCACTCCCCCCACGTCCCAATCCTTCTGCCTAGAGCCCCACACACACTCCCAACCCTGATTCTTGCATCCTCACACAGCCCTGACCACTGCATCCTCCCATATCCCCGCTCCCTGCACTCCACCCCACACTTACATTTCTTACAGACACTGTCATATTGCACCTCCCTAGCCACCTGCCTGTTCCCCCCAGGGGGCAATACAACAAAACTTGTAAGAAGTTGAAGTTCTTTCACCCCCTCACTGTTTTCTTGCATTCCCACACCAGTCTGTTGTGTCTTCTCTTCTCTTCCATTGGAAGATCCTTGGCAACAAGGACTATCTGTTGTGTGTGCGGGTGGTACCTACCACACTGGGATCTTGGTCCAAGATTAAGGAACCCAGGTGCTCCATCAATCTATATAAAATAATTAGTAACACACTTTTTTGAAACTTTTTTGGAAGGATTAGAAGTTTTAGAAACTTTTTTCATATGAAAAGTTTTTTAAACTGTTTTTCCAGAGGTGGAAAATGTGTTAGAAAGTTGTATTGAGCAGGGAGTGACGTTTCTGACTTTTTTAACAGGAAAAAGATTTTGAAACTGTTTTTGGAGGGTGAAATGTTTGGAAATTTTTGTGGAAGGAGAAAATATTTTGGAATTTCCTGGAAGGGGAAGCAGTTTTCAAACTCATAATAAAGTTTCAGAAATGTTCCTTTTAAAACATAGGAAATGTTTCTGAAACTCTTTAGAGGCAAAGAAGTATTTGAAGCTTGCTTTTGGAGATGGAAAAAGTTTTCAAAACTTGTGTTGAACCGAAGGAAAGTTTTGGACTCGCTTTTCAAAAATTAGTTTTCAAAACCATTTGTTGGCCGTGGGAAACGTTTGGGAAACTTCTTTAGCAGGGGATAAAGTTTAGAAAGTTTCAGCTCTTCCACCCCCAAGAGTTTCTAAATCTTTTTCCAATCCCAATGTTGTTTCCTAAGTTTTCAGAAGTTTTCCCGCTAACATCTGTAGCTCTCCCAGATCCCTGCTGGGCCGCAGGCCAATAGGAAAACTCCCCTTTGATCCCAGCGTCAGAGGAAGAAAAACACACGTCGCCCAAGTCCATTTCCCAGTTCTGCGAGGGGCTCCATTTATCATGAGCCGCAACTTCCCGTCCCCTCCCAACTCTTGACAAAGTTACTTTGGTTTCTCCCATCACTTAGGAGGTGCATCTGGGGCAGTCCATTTGTACCATGGGGGATTATTACACTATTGTTTCAGGAACAATTCACCTTCTCTAAAAGTGATCTTGGCTTCTCCCACCTCTTTCTCTAGGGTTGTTCCTGGCTCGTTCCATTTTTATAAAGGGGGGATTCAGCCTTCCCTTTTTGAAAGTTCCCGTGGTTTCTCCTATCTCTTTCTCTCGGTTCATTTTCATAAAGGAGGAAACGAAACATCCCACAGCTTGAGCAACACCTTCCCGCCTCTCGAAGTTACTTTGGTTTCTCCCACATTTCAGACTCTAGGGTGTGTCCCTGGGTCAATTCATTGTCATGGGGAAGGGGGGGGGCAAGTAACCAAAAGTTCACTCCCAGTTTCCAAAGGGCGAATTGGTTTGCTCCTAGTGCTTACCTGGGCCGAACCATTTTCAAAATGAGGGGCAAGGAGACAGGTGGGGAGTTTATGTAAACCCCAGTTTTAAGCGGGGGGCGGTGGCGCCTCTATTCGAAGACGTGGTCGAACAGAAGTTGACATCCTACGCCTAAAGGCCTGCGGGGCGGGAGGGGTGTGTCGTTCTCTTCTCGTCCCCCCACCTCCCAAGCAGAGTTGGTACGTCCCGCCCCTTGGGCGAGGCGGCAGCACCTGAGCTAGGGGAAGAGACGGGCGCGCGCACTCGGGAGTCGGGGGGGCGGTGGCGCCTCTATTCGAAGACGTGGTCGAACAGAAGTTGACATCCTACGCCTAAAGGCCTGCGGGGCGGGAGGGGTGTGTCGTTCTCTTCTCGTCCCCCCACCTCCCAAGCAGAGTTGGTACGTCCCGCCCCTTGGGCGAGGCGGCAGCACCTGAGCTAGGGGAAGAGACGGGCGCGCGCACTCGGGAGTCGGACGTGAGCGAATCAACAGGGGAGGGGGAGCCCGGCGCGAGCGAATCAGCCCGGCCCTGCGTCGGTTGGGAGAGGCGGGCATGGAGCCCCGGGGCCCCCAGCCGGCTCTGCTGACCCTGCTGTGGCTCCTGGGCGGCCCGTGGCTCGCAGGTGAGCGC